CCACCAAAGTATCCCCTGCCCCTGAGCAGGACCAATGGTCAGATACATGTCTGTCCTAGGTTACTTTGCATTAATGTCACAAACATCACCAAGGAAAGTAACTTGGGGTGGAGAAGGGTTATTTGACTCACACATCCTTATCATTTACTCTAACACAAATTCTAGTTGCTCTTAATAAAAACCCAGAGTCAAATATAGGGGTTAATGCTGAGGATCAGGGAAGTAAGGGGCCACGCCCTAGAGTTCTTATGCTCAGAAAGGAAGGGAGATCCTGTCCTGCATTACAGAAGGATCCTGCATTACAGAATGCATCTGTCTCCACCAAGCCTCAGACTGCAGTGAACTCTTGTCTCCTCCCTCCTTAAATTTCTCTCTGCCCAGCCACATCCCTTCCCATCTCCACCTCCCTAGTGCTGGATTTAAAGGCTTGAGACACCCAAGTAATGGATTTAAGGGCATGGACTCCCAAGTAATGAGATTAAAGGTGTTAGACATCACTGCCTAGCCTCTGGTGGCTCTGAGCTCTGATCTCCGGGCAAGCTTTATTTTTAAAAACAAACAAAACACTCACTATAATTGACCATCATTGAAGGGCAGTCAAGGGAGGAACACAACCAGGGCAGGGACCAGGAGGTAGGAAATGGAATGGAGACCTCAGAGGAGTGAGTGCTGCTGACAGTCTTGTTTTCACTGACTGACAAGCCAGCTTCCTCTACCTCCCAGGGCATCCTGCCCAGTGTTATCACAACCCCCAGTCTGTTACAGCTCAGATGGAAAGGTATCCTGGCAGTTAGGACCCCAGCACAACCCCACTGCCACTGGGACTCCTGGGCCTCTGCCTGCCCTCCCTCTCTCCCTCCCTCCAGGACCTGCCCACTGTGCCCTCTCAGCTGGTCCTGCTCTGGCCCCTGCAGCCTCTCACCCCCTGGACTCCACTGCCTCACTCCACCACAGAGGCCCTTGGAGGGAGGGCCGGCCTTGCTGGGTGCCATGCAGACCCAGCTCACCTGCTGCTGTGGGTTCCTTGTGGTCCCCTGGTACAAGCTGTCTAGCTGTCCTCAGGGACCTGGTCACTTTAGGATAGACTTTATGGAATTGCTTGGTAGAGTTGAATTTACAGAGAAAGCGAATGCTCCAAAAGGAGGGAGAGGCCTCTTTTTAATGGGGTTAAGTGCAAAAGCTGAAACTGCCCCCTGGAACTTCCAGAAGTCAAGACTCCTGTGTGTTCCCCCTGTCCTGTCTCTGGGTGACAGAGATATCACTATAGGTGACTACCCTGGCCTTTGGTAAACAGAGTACTCGGTCCTTGGTCTGCTTACAACCTATTTTTTTTCCACAAATAAAAATGCAAATGACTTCATGATTTTATTAGATGACCGTGATGAAATAAGGAACAATGAAGGTTTAGAAATTAGGCAATTTTGGCAGAAGAAATAACACACTACTAAATAAAGAGTGGTTCACAAGATAACGTAAGGAGAACATCAAAGTATTTCTGTAAATTAATGAAAGCACACAGCAAAATAACCTCTGGGGTGTACTAATCACAGTCCTAAAAGGAAAACTTGTAAGTGCTTACATTAGAAAAAAATAGTCTGGTGGTGGTGGAGCAGGCCTTTAATCCCAACCTCCAGAGGCAGCTGCAGGTGGCTATCTGGGAGTTCGTGGCCAGACTGGTCTACAAGAGCTCGTTGCAGAACAGGCTCCAAAGCTACAGAGAAACCCTGTCTCGAAAAAGAAAAAGAACCCATGGGAAAGACAGGCAGTTGCAGAGTTCAGCTATCTAACATTGAAGCTCCTGTCTGCTCAGCTAGCCTAAAAGTCCTAAGTGGGAAACAGGAGGGAATCGTATTAGACAAGAATAGTGATTCCTGGGCTGGAGAGATGGCTCAGAGGTTAAGGGCACTGACTGCTCTTCCTGAAGTCCTGAGTTCAATTCCCAGCAACCACATGGTGGCTCACAACCATCTGTAATGAGATCTGGTGCCCTCTCTGGCGAGTAAGCATATATGAAGACAGAACACTGTATACATAATAAATAAAAATATTAAAAAAAAAAAAGAATAGTGATTCCTAAATAGTGACCACACTGACGTCACTGAGCAGGAAGCTGTGAACACTCACTGTGAAATGGACAGTTGACCGTAGAATTCCATCACACTCGTCTTATACGGGAACTCCAGCTACACTGGAGTCATTGCCTAGCAGATGGCATACTTAGAGCCCTGTGGCTTGAAACCCAATGTGTTTGATCTGACCTTTTATAATATAGTAATCTCAGATCAGTTATGTTTGGGGAAGATGGTAACCAGTTAGCATCATCTATGATGTGTGAGAATGCAGGCCTTTAAGTGGATTACTGGTTGCCCAAGTCGAGCGGGACAAGAGATGGCCAGGCCCAGCTCGGTCCAATTCTACCCCGATTTCCGGCTGCTATAGGACAAATCTGCCAGCGCTTCTCTTTTCCTTGCTTTCTACAGAGTCACGCCAGTATGGTCTGGGCCTGACGACGACAACACGGTGCAGACATTTATTGAGTCCACACTGCATGTCACACAAGACATCGAATCGTTATTTCACTACATGCCAACAAATTGAAAACTGAGACTCAGAAAAGTTAAGGGACCTATCCAAGGTCACTGAGCTCAGACTGGCAATTCCAGGAACCCCATCTGATGCACAGATCACACTCCCTGCACAAACTCTCATTCCATTGCCTTCAGCTCCTCAAAATCTCTTTCAGTCATCAGAATGAGTTCACTGCCTCTGAGTGTGAAGAAAAGCAGAGTAGAACGATACGCGTTGGGCAGTGCTGTTTCTAATAAACACCCTGGCTCTGGTGCACACCCAACATTAAAATCACTAAAAATGCCGATAATTTCTTTCACAATAACCACAGTATGACTCTCTTCTGAGTCACGGGTCCTCTTTCAATACATGACATGACGTGTTTCCTTTACTGAGCTGTTATTACCTGAAGCCTGTATGTAATCACCACATAATCATAGAAGGCACTTGTGAGAAGAGTTCGAGTCAAAAGGAGCTTTCCCATCACTGAATCTCAATAATCTAGGAAGCCCAATTAACTATAATACCCATTTGCCAATATTGCAGTTACCCCAAATTTTAGTGATTGGCCATCAAGCCCTAAATTATTTCGACATACAGAATTTTTCTACTAATGCCCTTGGCTTCTTACTGAGACTCAACTGCAATGGATTTTTTAACACAAAACTGGAGGGGCTCCAACGGAATCATTAGCATTAGTAAATATCTAGTTGATGCGCTTCAGAACAGGCCCTAATGGACTCCAGAACCCGCATGGGCGGTGATTTGGGCCCAGCGCGGAAACATCCTTGTGAATAATGCACAGGACTCCACCCCTCACTCTCCAGTCCTCTGGGCTTCAAACTTGATTTCAATGGAAGACTCCACATTGGAATGCCTAATCCAGAAGAGTGAGTTTGTGTGCATTCAAACACAATATGGAAAGGCTGGGTTAATCTGCCCTCTGCACATAACTTAGTGTTCTCAGAAATAATATTAACGAATTGGACCAAACTAATGGTAATAATAATAATTAACAATAACAAGCTTGACTAAATGCTTACTTTCACTTGAAGACAGTTTGCATGCGGCACATAACTTAGTGTTCTCAGAAATAATATTAATATATTGGACCAAAATAATGGTAATAATAATAATTATTAACAATAATAAGCTTGACTAAATATTTATTTTCACTTGAAGACAGTTTGCATGCATGGACAGACAGCTGACATTCCCTGGCACATCAGGGTTTTAAGGAATTAGCTTGTTTATGATTAATTAATGAACACTTTCATGAACATGATCACAGCAAACCAAAGGCCAGAAGGTACGCTTGACGCTCTGATAGGTTTGTCTGAGACTCTGTGGGGATCCCTTGCTTGGCACAGTTACCTGTGTCAAAGTTGTGACAGTTTAGGAGGCAGCTACACCTCCAGGTTAAGAGGCGCACTTCCTGCCAGTAAACCTCAAGATTAACAAAGCCATTCCACATGACACTGTTGTCCTCTTGCTGTTCCCTAGAACACGGATCTTTCTTTTTTTTTTTTTAAAAAAAAAAAAAAACTTTATTTAACTTTATTTCATGTGCATTGGTATAACGATGTCAGATTCTCTGGAACTGGAGTTACAGACAGCTGCGAGCTGCCATGTGGTTGCTGGGAATTGAACCCGGGTCCTCTGGAAGAGCAGTCAGTGCTCTTAACCACTGAGCCATCTCACCAGCCCCGGATCTTTCTTTTTAAGTATCCTAAACATTCCCTGATCTTGTTGTTGTTTGTCTGTTCTTTGTTAAGTCGGTTGCTCTTTTTAAAAGTCAACAGTCTCTGAACTGCACTACTGCAGCAGTTCAGGAGACTGATTCATAGAGTCCCCACAACTTCATAGCTCACATTTCCCTACAGCAGCTGGAAGGTTCAGCGTCCTAAGAACTGAACACCCAAACCTCCATTTATAGGACCTGAAGTACTCAAGGTATCGAACAAAAGGTCTCAAGGTATCTGTCCCACTTCTTTAGGTTGGCTACGTTAAACAACATCAGGCACACATCAAGGTTTCGGCGATTCTCAAAGCTATCTTACTAGTTAAACACCTAATACCGAAGCGCTTTAAAAATAACAAATAACGTGGTGGCCGCAGGACCCCCAATGGTGGTGAGGACTGGGTGTCCCATTGCAGTACACTGTGGGTGCAAAAGATACTAGTGGCTGAGAGGAGGAACCCAAATTAAAGGCTTGGGAAGGTCTACAAATGAAGCCCAGATCCTGGGGAAGAAGGGGCTGCTCTCTGAGTGATGTCCCCCTCCATCCCTGGTCCACAGTTCGCCCAGAGGTGGCAACTGCCTGGAAGGTGCTGGAAGCATGGAGCACGGGTGGAGGCACTGAGCCTAGGGAGCGAGCCCTGGGACAGCCGGCAGTGCACTGGGGTGGGGGGAGACAGAGAAGCGCACTCACCAATGCTGCTGAAACTCTCTGACAAAGTTCTTCATCCTGCGGATCTTCTGGCACGGCTGCGGCTCAATGAGGTCATACATCTGGGTGGCGCTGGGTCCAGTCAACTTTGTGAAAGTGGTCCAGAGCTCAGCCCAGACAAGGGCAGGCTCATTTGCCCTCCTTTGTAAGGCAGAGCCGCGAGGCCGCAGCACAGGTGGCAGCGGGAGACTTGAGCGACAACTTCCCAGCCTGAGGCGCGATGCAGCACCAGAGCCACCGACCGCTGCCATTCTCTGAGGCCTCAGCTGCCCTCTCTCTCTCCCTTGACTTGTTCTTTAAAATATTTAACTTACTTGCTTCTCCCTTTTTAGATTGTTGCATAAAGTCCTTCTCCTAGTTTCTCCAGTTTTTCATAGGAATCAGCTTTTCCAAACTTGGGTTGTTGGCTAAACACAAAACAGTGGCGTGGCAAAACAAAACAGATTGTTTCAGTACCAATTTGGTGACAATGAATAAGTAACATTTTCTGATATCAGAATATTTTTAAAACAAGGCAAGAAACAATCATTATACAAATTCAGAATATACAAACACACGGAGAATTATATTTGCCCATAATCTAACCAAGGTAGACCTGTAAATATTTTGATATAACATCCATCACCCAAGGCTGGCTATCTTGCTGGATATTGTTCGTTAACAGAGATGTTGTCACATTCAATGTACATGCTTTATGACCTGTGTTCTCACATTCAATGTGTTATGAACATTTTCCATATTATGGCACAATATTCTAAATTATAATTAATAAAATAGTATATGCAAGTCAAACATATTCTGCCCCATGTTTTTAATACATCCCATTGATGTAGAGTAATTGTTACCTTGTTTCACTAGTTGAGAAGGGACCAAAAGAAGAAAATTTTGTGATACATGAAAGTTGCACAAAAATCACATTTGAGTATACACAAATTTTTACTATAATGGTCATCTTATCTATGACTTTCTAGTTATAATGAGACTGTAGTTACTACATGTATTATACAGCTGCTGATGCTGGGAATACTGTGTTACTCTACAGTAAATCATAACTGTATAACACTTAGTCAGAAAGTACTCCTCCAATGTATTTCATCAGTAAATCACATAGATAATATAGACTATTTAGAGATAACTGATCATTCTAACTTTCTCACAGGTCATAAAATTGTTAAGGACTAACCATGAAATCGAGGAGTGTCTGCACCGCAAAGGGGACGAGCATCAGAGTGGCGAGATAGCTGACAGAATGATGTAGGAGGGTCTTCTGTTTTGTGTTGATTTCATTGGTTAAATAAACTGCCTTGGCCTTTTGATAGGGCAGAAAATTAGGTGGGCAGAGTAGACAGAACAGGATGCTGGGTAGAAGGCAGTGTGGCAGACACCATGGCTCTCCTCTCCGAGATGGACGTAGGTTAGAATCTTCCCGGTAAGAAACGACCCTGTGGTGATACACAGATTAATAGATACGGATTAAAGCAAGATGTGAGAGTTAGCCAAGAAGAGGCTAGATGTAATGGGACAGGAAGTGTTTAAATGAATATAGTTTCCGTGTAATTATTTTAAGTAAAGCTAGCTGGGCGCCAGGCGGCGGGAAGCAGCCCGCCTCTCCTTTTACAACAACAGAATGGGAGAAAATCTTTGCAAGTGGATATGTGGTAGAGGATTAACATAGGCAATAAAGAAGGTCCCAAAGAATTAAACATGAAAACCCATCTAATCAGTAAATAGGTGAATAAATAGAACTGTTCTCAAAGGTAGAACTTCAGACAGCCAGTATGTGGAAACTGTTCAACACCCTTAGCCATCAAGAAAATGCAAATTAAACAACACTGTGATGCCATCTCACCCATAAGACCGGCTGTCACCAGGAAAACAACATGACAAAAATGCTAGGGAAGTTTCATGCTCTTTTATGCTGGTGAGAGTGTAACCTGGAGGTTTTGCTACGGAAGGGAGGCACTCACAATACACAAGATGAGTAGCAGATTAATTTGATGAGAATATGGTCCATACACACAGTGGAGTTTTATTCAGCCATAAAGAAGGTGAAATAGAGCACCTCCAGGAAAACTAATAGAGATTTTCATTAACATGATAAATCTGATGTAAAAATAAAAATGATAACATAAGCAACACAAGTCAGACTCAGAAATACATGAACCATATTTTCTGTCATATATGGACACATACTTGTGTGTGTGTGTGTGTGTGTGATCCCATATGTAGGACATATACAGACATGAAATAAGAGAGACTATGATGAGGAAGGAAAGGGAATAAATGGGGGAGGGCAAAGAGAGAAAGAAGAAAACACAATGCCCCATATGTCCCCTCATATGCAGAATCTAGACTTGGTCACACAGATGTGAAAGCAGAGGAGAAACTACTTACAGGGAGAAAGTTGTTCACTGGGGTTGCAGAGGAGAAGAGCAGGGAGGTCAAATACAGAAAGTACAATGATACAGATGAATGACAGGTCACAAAAAAAGCCCATGACTTGCATTCCAACTGTAGCAATTAATTAAAAATGAAAATAGTAAATATGTTCTCTTGTCCCCTGACCACAGCAAACGCAACACAGTGACTAAAGACACATTCTTCGAAACTAACAGTTCATGATTTTGAAAAAAGAATTATCTAACCAGACATTTTGAGGAATCTTGATACTATCTTTTTTTATTATTTATTTATTTATTTATTAAAGATTTCTGTCTCCTCCCCGTCACTGCCTCCCATTTCCCTCCCCCTCCCCCAATCAAAATCCCCCTCTCTCATCAGCCTGCAGAGCAGTCAGGGTTCCCTGCCCTGTGGGGAGTCCAAGGACCTCCCACCTCCTTCCAGGTCTAGTAAGGTGAGCATCCAAACAGCCTAGTCTCCCATACAGCTAGTACGTGCAGTAGGATCAAAACCCAGTGCCATTGTTCTTGACTTCTCAGCAGTTTGAGGAATCTTGAATGGCATAATGCAATTTGGAGTAAAATTTCAGAGAAATGACCCTAAAGCCATGAAAAAACTATTAGATTAAAATAGCAGAAACCTCTACATATACATGAGAAAGGTAAGGGGAGACTTTATTTTATAAAAACAGAAAGGACAGATGAGAATGAGGTCACTGAGTTAGAAGGGCCAAGCAAAGACTCGGCCAACATCTACAAAAACGACAATGTACAATTACAAACGGCCAACAAATATTTAAAACTGCATTCAGCATCCCTAGTCATCAGAAAAATGCAATTAAACCTAAGGGTATAACCATGGCTTTTTTCTTAACAGTTTTATTTTAATGAAAATATAATTATATCATGGCTTTTTGATGCAATCAACAGAAGCAAGCGAATGAAATAGAATAAGCTGGCAGGTTTCTCAAGTAAAAACATGAGTACAAATCCTAAAGTCACAATTCACAAAAGATGAAACCATGAAAGAGAAGCATGGAGTTTAACTGGGGAGAGTAACTAAAACTCTTGAACAGCGGTACCAGTGAAAAGGTAAGGATGACTTTGAAGTAACTGTATGATCATTATTTAACCAGCATAAAAAATATTTAGTGAGTATTGAATGAGAGAAAAGATATAGTTGAAATAGCAATAAACTCGGGTTTGAACAAAATTCTCACCAGACACTTCAAGGAGCGACTGCATCTACATAGAAAAGTTAATCAGAGATAACAATGGCTGCAAAATGGACAGGAATATTTTATAAAGTTAATAAAGTGATTTGGCTGGGTGTGGTTAGCCCACAGAGACAGACATAGGGGGATCTCTGTAAGTTTGAGGCCAGGCTAGTCTACATTGTAAGTTCCAGGTCACAGTTATGTAGAGAATCTGCTTTAAAATAAAAAAAGAGGCAACAATTTGTATCCCTAGTACTGCAGTAGTTAGTGTGTCCAATGAGAGATATGCAGACATTACAAATTTTATCACCTGAAGCAAAAAAATCAAGGCATTAACTTCCACGGTATTTCAACGTAAGGCTTGGCTGGACCAGTGCAAAGTAGTACAAGAAGGCAAAAGAGAAAATCATGTTGAGAATTCTTGAATCAATTAGAACAGAGAGTAGACACTAACTCCAAAGTCACAAATTTCAGTATTTTTCTTACATCTTAAGAAGTATTTGCTACATCTACACAGGATGTATACATCTTAAATAGAGGAATGAAGGGGAAATGCAAAAATGGAAGAGGTAAGGAAAGGGGAATTAGACAAGGGATTCTCAAAAAAATACACCAAGTAAATCATCATCAAATAAGGATAAATTTAAGCCCAACTATATCAAAAATTACAATAAACATAAGTGAACCACCTTTGGCAAATAAAAGTTCACAGATTTCTGATGTGGGGGATCAACAATGTGCTACTGAAAAGATTCAAAAGCAGAATAAAGAGCGTATCTGAACATAAAGAAGGGGGAAACCCTACCATTTGGAATTGAGTTTTGGACAGCCAAAGGTGTAGGGATTGAATTTCATTCTTTTCCCCTTAACACCCAGGGTTCTCAGGCCCATTTGGTAATGTTGCTCATCAACAGATGAACGGGTAAAGAAAATAAAGCATACACACCAAATGGAATTTCATCCAGCTAGACACAAAACTGACATCATGAGATTGGTATGAAAGTCAATGAAACTTGAAATTTTGTACTGAGGTAATAACCCAGGGACAAAAAGACAAACGCTGCATATTCTCTCCCACGTGTATGTCCTAGCTTCCCTCCACTCCTCAGTTTCACGTGTTTAACGTGGAGAACCTCTAGAAAGCAGAAAACTTGAGAGGAGACATTGCACAGGGCAGGGCACCTTAAGGAAGAGGGGCAGAAGGGACACATATAAGCACAGAAAGGGTGGGAAACGGGGCGCACAGGTTCAAACAGAAGGTGGGAGAGACAAGAGGGTCGGTGAAGAGAGAGTCAAAACAAGGGAGGTATGACTCACACTGAACTCTCTCAGGTTGGCCTTGACGAGGAGCAGCAGGCCCAGGCTGTTGCTCTCCTGGGTCTTGGTCTCAGTTTCTGTCAGGAGCTCCTCTGCCGCCTGCAGTTCTTCGCTGTGGTTTGAAAGGAGGCCACTGGCTGCCTCCTTCAATGCCTTCAGCTTTTCCTGGGGCTTCTGGAACCTCTTCTGAATTCATGACAATAACTCTTTAGCAGCCCTGATAAACAGAAATGGTCCACTTAGGAAGTAAAACTTGGGTCTTGAAACCCTAATGTGAGATTTTCAAATGATAATAGTTCTTTCTAGGAATATAGAGTGACTTACTTCTTGTTTGGTTTTTTGTTTTTATTTATTTATTTAGACAGGTCTTGACTATACTGCTTAGGCTGGTCTTTAACTCAAAAAGATTCTCCTGCCTCAGCCTCCCTCATTGTTATGATTATAAGTGTAAATGACCAAGGTTAGCATGGATCCTGATTGCTGAAGACTAGAAGCAATTTTTTTATGTTTTGTGTGCATGTGTGTGTGATGAGGGAAAGGATGTATAAGTACCATGTCAAATTTGCAGAGTTCAGAGCACATTAAGGTCTGGCCCTTACTATACTTGCATGGATGCCTGCATGCCAGAAGAGGGCATCAGATCCCACCATGTGGAAGCTGGAAATGGAACTCAGGACCTCTGGAAGAGCAGACAGTGCTCTTAACTGCGGAGCCATCTGAGCCACCATCCAAAGGTCCTGAGTTCAATTCCCAGCAACCATATGGTGGCTCACAACCATCTGTAATGATATCTGGTGCCCTCTTGAGGAAGAAACCTGGTCAGTCATCCTCATCAACATGGACAAGTTCAACAGAACCGCCATATACGGGCTGCCCATGCATGCCTCAGCATCGACAGGCCTAGACGACCTCTCATGCACTCCTTCCCACACTTCCCTGCGGCTCCTTGTCCTTTTCCTCATCTGAACACACAGCCTTAAAGACTCTCAGTCATAAGTGCTGAGAATCCTGGGAACTGTAGTAACATGGAATCCTGGGAGCTGCAGTAGGTCCCTGAAGATGGGAGTGGTCTGGCACTGAGTGAATGACTGGCAGATGCACCAAAGCTGATTACCCAGACTGAAGCATGGAGCATGAATTTTATAATAACTATAATTAGTAATATGATGACAAATCATTCCTGCAACAACCTATGACATTGGAAAAGGGATTATCTCAGAAACTAGAAAATGAAGGCTAGAAAATACATTTTCAATTCCCCAATGTTTAAAATAAAGGCCCCGAGTCATAACTTCACTTATAGAAGGAAGAGAGAAGTATAGAATCTGATTGACAGTTGCATTCTAAACAGAAAGGGAGATGCAATTATAGAACAGGCAGTCCCAGAAGATCCAGC